ATATATATATATGTAAATATGTGTGCATAAATAAATTAGCTAAGAGTTGGCCCTAGTCAACATTAACTTATTCTACAGCCACTTACGTTGGAACTGTGACCTGAAACCAAGCACAGGGATAGGCATAGGAACCTGGGCCAGGGGACTATCAGGGATAGAGGGAAAGGTGGGCAGGTGGGCCTAGTGACCCCACAGGTGTGAGAAGTCTGGGTCATTGATGGGCCACAGGAGCACCCAGAAGGCTCAGGCCCAGGCTGGGAAGCAGCTTGTCCTAGTCCTTGGCACCCACAGACAGGCAATATTCAGCAGGTTGTAGGTCTGTAGGAGGCCAGGGAGGATTTGCCCTCACTCACTCTCCCCTCTACCTTTGCCTCTAGACCCCAGCTTGGTTGCTTTTTTGAGATCTCACAGCCGCACCCAAGAGCAAACAGGAGAGAAGGCCTCTGAGGAGCAGAGGCCAGGAGGACCCTCTGCTAATGTCACCAAGGAGAAACCCCTCATGTCAGCTTTTGCCAGTGAGTCCAGGAAGGGAGACAAGCTGGAGCCAGAAGCCCCAGGTTTGCAGGAGGCGTGGTCATATTTTGGTGGATAAAAGTAGAGGAAATTGTCCCTTCTCCTAGGCCTGGCAAATGAGAGAAGAGAGAAGCTTCTGTGCTTTTGGACATCTAACATTAATCCTCATTACTGGCTTCAAGTCAGTCTTCATTGCTGATGCATGTCTTCTTCCTGCACATGCTTCCTGTTTTCTTGTCCTGTTACTGCTCCTTCCCCGCCTTCCCTTTTAAGGGGCAGCAATGCATGATGGCTGAATCCCACCCCACCCCCTCCTGGCAGACTGTCTTCCTGCCCTTGCTGTAGCTGCCCCAGCTCCGGCTCTGTCCATCCCACTGTTCCTTCTCTCTCTGCTCACAGTGTTGGGGGGAAGATGGCAGGGCCAGGGTAATGGGAGAGGCAGAATCTGACAAAGGTCTTATGAACATGCCAGACCAGAAGCAGAGAGGCCAGTGGAAGCACTCATTTCCCAGAAACTAGATTATTTCATTAGTGATTAGCAAAAGAAGAAATCAAATTATGACAGCCAGGAACCTCATGCCCCCGAAGGAGCTCCAGGCCAGCTGAGCAGGTTGGGTGGGGGTAGGCATGAAGGAGGAAAATGCTGTGGGATTTGTTTCTGTATCCTGCCTCCCAGGAGCAGTATAGCTGCCTCCTCCTCCTTGTCCCCACTCTCCTGCTCCTTTAAGGGCTGGTACTGGAGAGTGGAGAGTGGTGCCTTCCCAATATATGTGGTCCTCCTTCTTCCTCTTTTTCACCTTTCTTTCTCTTTCTTCCTTCTCCTCCTCCTTCTCTCTCCTTTCCCAACAAATCCTGGGGTCAGCAAGGGGCTGGAGCCCAGGATGGAGTGTGTCTGTCATATTTGAGATTTTCACCCCAGCCCCAGGAGTTCCAGTCCCTGGGCCATGCCATTTAGCCATAACTGAGGGGAGAAGCTAGCAGATCCTGGGACAGAAGTGGATATGGCAGCTGCTGGGTGATAGTGGGGACCCCTGTGGATAGTGAGCTGAGCCCTTTGGGGAATACTATCATGCTGTGTCTCCCCAGCTCTGGCACTGCCCGTGACCCCTCAGAAAGAATGGCTGCACATGGACACTGTCGAGCTGGAGAAGCTCCACTGGACCCAGGACTTGCCCCCTCTCCGCCGGCAGCAGACACAGGAGGTGAGGAGGGCCCGCTGGCCTACAAGGGGAGGGTGAGATGGGGCAGGAGAGGAGCTGCTGCTCTTGCCCTCAGAACTCAGGCCTTTCTATTGCCCAGAGCCTGAGAAGCATCTCTCCTTTGCTCTCACCCACCTTTCCCATCACTCTGCCTGGCCCCCAAGGCCAGATAAGCCCCATTTCTGGTTAGAAGTAGAGTCAGTACCTAAGTCCTGAAAGGCCTGGGATTAAAGGTGGGGAGTGGGTGTGTGAAGGTTGCTGATGCCCCTAGACCACAGTCCTCTTTCTCTTCCCATTAGAGGATGCAGGCTCGATTCAGTCTTCAGGGAGAACTACTGGCCCCTGACGTGGACCTGCCCACCCACCTGGGTCTGCACCACCATGGAGAGGAGGCAGAGGCAAGGCATGGGGCTGGAGAGGACGGAGCAGCTCTTTTAACAACCCTGTGGAAAAGGATCTCTGGTCAACTGCCTTTGACCTTCTTTGTGCCCTGTTCTAGTTCATGCCTTTGCCGTGCATTCAGTTTCTTTTGTTTGGAGACGGAATCTCGCTCTGGCCCAGGCTGGAGTGCAGTGGCACGACCTCAGCTCGTTGCAACCTCCGCCTCCCGGGTTCAAGCCATTCTCCTGCTTCAGCCTCCGGACTGGCTGGGATTACAGGCGCCCGCCACCACATCCAGCTAATTTTTGTATTTTTAGTAGAGACGGGGTTTCACTGCATTAGCCAGGATGGTCTTAATCTGAGCTCGTGATCTGCCTGCCTCGGCCTTCCAAAGTGCTAGGATTACAGGCATGGCATTCAGTTTCTTAGGTTCAAAATCTTGATCCTCTCTCCACATTCTGGTCAGTTGCTAGAATTCACCGATCTTCTGTCACCTCCTCATGATGCCTCCTGCACTGTGGCCTTGCTTCCTCTGCTTGCTCTCCATGCCCTCCATTCTCCGCCCCCCTGCCATCCATGCCTCACGGGCTGCCATGCTGATTTCTCCTGGCCCAGCTCAGGCCATGCCTTGCCTCCAGAAGTTTTCCAGCTTCCCTCTGCTCACAGAATAAGGTCCTGGTCTCAACTGGGCAAGATATTCCTTCCACCTTCTGTCCCTGCTGACCCTGCTGCTCTGCCTCCTTCACTCCCTGCTGCACCGCTCGCTCTGTTGGCTTTTCCCCACATACCTCCTGTGCTCAGGGCCCTCCAGGACTCCACTCGCTCCAGGGAATGCCTTTGCTTTTTGCCCCATGACCGGCCACTGAAGCTCTACCCATCCACTGAGACCAGTTCAGTTTTCCAGGTCCCCTTCTCTCTCCTGTCTGTTGGTTGCAAATTAAACATAGTTACCACGTTCCTTTGCATCTGCCTTATGGCATGGTTACTTGTATGCAAGTCTTATCTTTACCGGCTTGAGGCTCCATGGAAAGCAGGGCAGATTCACTTATTTATCTTTGTCTTTCCTGTGATACCTTGCTTGGTGTTTTGGGGGCACTGTGCTGTATCCTGGCTGCTTCTGACTTCTTGTTCCTGCCCCAGAGAGCGGGGTACTCCCTACAGGAGCTGTTCCACCTGACCCGCAGCCAGGTGTCCCAGCAGAGAGCACTGGCACTGCATGTGTTGGCCCAGGTCATCAGTAGGGTGAGTAGATTGACAGCCTGGTCCTGCCCACCCTACCCTTCACCCCACAGCCTCAGACTTCCCCATCTCCTGCCCTTTTCACTCTGGCTGACTAGCCAGCTATGTGCTTTTAACAACCTGGGATCACAGGGGGGCAAACGAAGGATTAGGGCAAAGCCTCCAGATAACTTCAGCATCTTCAGCAAGGGTTTATCCTCCTCCCCCAGGCCCAGGCTGGTGAGTTTGGGGACCGGCTAGCAGGCAGTGTCTTAAGCCTCCTTTTGGATGCTGGTTTCCTCTTCCTACTGCGCTTCTCCTTGGATGACAGAGTAGATGGGGTCATTGCAACCGCCATCCGTGCTCTTCGGGCTCTGCTGGTG